GATCACATGCACTTGTTACTTCCTGACAACATTTGAAAAACCTCAAGCACATAATCAAACACCCAAAAAAAATTCATTTTCAAAAATGGAAGGAGTAATTTTCCTTACAATGGAGCAGGCCCAGAATTCCACAGAAAATGAGCCAATAACACATTTAATGTATAACATAACCTCAAAATGTATGTTCTTAAAAGCATTTCCAGTTCTAACTTTAATTCTGTGTGATCATTTACTCAGCCCACATCCCAGTGTCAAGAACAGCTGTGGCAAAGCAGCACTACTGGCAATGCAGGATTTTAACAATGGTGTTTCTGACTCAAATAATTACCCAAGATATAGTTTAACCTGACTTACTGTGCACTTAGCATCTGCCAGCTAAATCATCAATTGATTATAATCATCTATTTCATATGCGTAAAGAACGGTAAGGATTATGGCAAAGTAAGCAGATCCCAAATCAGTGCTGAATTGCAGAAAGAACTCTGGACTGTTGGTTTTCACACCTTTGACTTTACCACAAAATTACCAGAAGCACATTTTACAGCCAAAATTATTTCTCATCGTTTCACACCCAGCTTCCCCTGTACTTTAACAGATGACTGACTGAAAGACAGTATTTGTATCCTGAAGACTGCTGTATCAGTGTACATTAAACATATGCTTGATGTTACTGCCCAAGCAGAACTCAATTTTACACTGCCCTGTAAAGGACTTCAGTGATCTTTACGGCTTATAGTTAACCATAAAAATAACAAGGTGGAATTAATGCAGCACAGCCAGTGGGACAGATAATTGCAGGTTAAATTACTTCAAACACCTAACAGATAATACGGATCAAACTCGTCAACAAAATGATAACTTGATACTTATTATTTCAGATATGCTTTTGTTTGGGATCTCACTCATGGGTGATTCTTCTGATGGGGGGGGGGCACCAGATGTAATAACAGCGCATGGTTTGCTCTGCAGGGAGATTTCGGTGCGGGGGGTGGGGGTTATATTCCACTCAGTACCAGGCAAGACAACAGGACCTTGTGATATCTTACGTGCATGCTGAAAACAACTTCCAATAATATACGACAAACTCACAGGGGGCATACCCACTGTTTTTAATGTAAACAATGATTTTTCTTAAAATGTCACAGGTCCAGAGGTCCTATGCTTTGTCCCTAGGAGCCCCACCAAAAATCCAGCAACTGCCATGACATACCATGACATGTGAATATATGTACCGCAAAGTCACAATTCACTACAGAAACTGGAGCAACTCAATATTTACATGTAATTTTGTGGATTACAGTCATACCTACAGCAGTGGTCCCAGAGCTGTTCTAAACTCAATGTATCAATTTAGCAAACTCAACACTTAGTTACCCAGCAGCTGGACATTTTGTTCATTTTCCATCCAAGAGACAGACTCAAAACCTTATAATTTTTCCTTGTTAGGTTTTTACTATTTCCCCTTCTTTAAAAATAGGCAATCTTATTTTCATAGTGGCTTTGAACTTCCCCACAGAACTTTAAATCCCAGATGTTAACCATTTTGGATTTGTTTATTTTTTTTCCAACTGTTGACAACTGCTAAGCTCTGCCCTTCCCTGACGGTGGCTCCAAAAACACATTCAGCTCTTTTAAACAGCGCCCCCCCCCCCCCCATTTCTCTCGTTTATTGGTAAGACACTCTTTATTTTCACAGGTACACTAAATAGACATTGAGATTATAAAGCCTTTCCTTTGGAAATACCCCCTGCGTGGTACAGTGTAGCTCACCAGCCAGCAAGGAGGACGAAAATTCTGAACACAGACAAAGGGAACTGAGAATCTTGCGAACATAACACCAATGGTACACACAGAGGAGAACTCTAAACATGCTACTGGACAGCTGCACGCTGATCTTACATGTCAACGACAAACAAAAGCACAGGCGTGCCATATGTTATCCCACCCTGCACGGTGAGTGATTACAGCACAGCCAACTACTTACAGACATCTCTGTCTTGCCAATACTGACATACGAATAACGGTGTGGGACAGAAAGCCCCCCCTCCCAACACTTATTGGGGATCATAGGTGAGACAAGTTCCATGATACAAAAAAAAGGGATATAGCAAACAGGTTGAAAATAGTCGAGGCGAGGTCTATCGAGGCAAAGATAACTTTTATTGTTTTATTGTGTTCGGAGGAAGTGAAATTCTTGTGCCACAGTTGCAGGGGACGAGATGGGTGAATAGGGAAACAGGACAAACAGCATTACAATCCAAGACAAGACAGTGCTCTTTAAGAATAAGTAATACATAGGAAATAAACAGAAAACAGGTAATTGTCACCACCCCTGATGCCATTAGTGATATGCTTTAGTTAATTTGTTGATGTGTCTTCCGGCACATCAGCTAAAATGAAAATGGTCGGAGCCCCGGTGCACGACTGGGTCCCATATGCCTCCTGTCATTCTGAGATTGATTGCAGCAGGTGCCCAATCGTAACCTCGGAGTCCTGCAACAAAGCTTTTGTCCTGGCTTGGAGAGATGAGTAAAACAGACCTCTTTTTGGGGAAGAAAGCAGTCACCGTGGCAGCTAAGCAGCTCTGAAACATCCCTCTACCCACACGAAAGGCTACTGGCAGAGAGAAGAACACGCCCATTTCAAATCTGGGAAGCCATCAGCGGCGATCTGTACTTCATCATTCAAAATAGAGCCAGAAATTAATGAATACAAGACTAAAAAAAAGCTGATGTTTAGGTAGCTGATGTGTCCAAGTCGAAGATATTTTTTCCAAAACACTGCTATTAAGAATAGTTCAAACTAGAATTATTTAGGTCCATTTTGTGTTATTTCATCTCTATTGCTGTGCTGATCTGGCCTCAAGGTCTCCACCTACAGTTGTTACTGCACTGCACAAAAGCTAAGTAAATGCAGCTTTTTTAGAAAGAATTTCAGTTTGAAGGGCAGACTTCAGATAGTACGACGATGTCTAGAGATTTGCCATGCATCTTGTTTCAATTACATATACACAGAGCTGGCTACATATTTCAGCTCCCTTCTTACCACAGCAAAGGCTGCTTGCCTCCATTTATACCAAACATCTTTTCAAGCCAGAGACTTTATTACAACTTCATGGAAAAAGCACTTTTTATGCTTTTATTGTAGCTGTATTATAAGATCCCATACAAATAACAACGGTCAGTCATTCGGGATATCTTTATTAATTTTATTTTAATTTAAACTTTTATTCACATGCTTTGAGGCCGTGATTCTAACCATATATTTTTTTATTTCAGTACATGTTAATAATCGCTGAGCCGGCCACCACACTATTTGCATCCGTTTTACATGCCGAGCCTACCGTCGCTCGGCTGCAATCCGCACCCGCCGGATAAAAGTAGCGGATCGTTCCCGCCCAGGCGTCCCGCTCTGCGATTGGACGAGAGCGCCTCAGCGCTGGAAAATCGACGATCCGTGCCGTTTTAAAACTCATCAGTCCATCAGTGTCCATTTCGATTGGACGAGAGCGCCTCAGCGCTGGAAAAAAGGCGAGCCGTGCGGTTTTAAATTTCACCAGTCCATCGGTGTCCATATCAAAATAACGACAGCGATAACGTTAATTACAATTACGTCTCCTCACAAATCCGGGACACTGCGTATCCCGTTTGCCGTGTTCAATTTCACGTCAATATTCGCGGTCCGTCTTGGCCGTGACTGAATTTTTTTTCGACTCCCCTGACAGGGCGTTTTTTTTTTTTTGCTAACGGATCCGCCACCGCACACACAAGGCTGCCTCAGCACCGAAAAACAAAGAGTCCGGCCACCCCATCCACCAGACGCATGTTTAAGTCCTCCCAGACGGGCGAGAAGTTCCCCGAGGAGACGGTGTGGACCGTGGTGCTCAGTCCATCCCGTCCCCACCGATACCGAGGAAGAGGGCAGACCTGGACCGGAGAACCCCGATACCCCCCCACGAGTCCACTTGGGAGAGTCACACATATAATAACAATTACGGGCGTCTCTGGGTCCAACTGGTAACGTTTCACTCTGAATGGGCATCAGACCCAGTAAGGTAGAACTTTTTAAACTGGATACAATAGCAAGAGAAACCCCCAGGGACAGTCTGGTATCACTGATTCACCATCGTCACAAAATGCGTAAATTCGGTGTCTGAGACAAAAGCCAGCCCCCACGCCGCCGCCTCCTCCTCCATCCATGAAGCGCCGCTTAAGTAGCCAAATACGGCAGGCTGCTGAATGAAGCGGAGTTGGAGCCCAGACTCCTCTCTCTATATATATATACACATTTATATGTACATATATACACACACAAATGTATAGATGTATATATATATATATCAATTCGCAACATGATCTCCACTTTTATCTTCTGCTGGATGATTACTACGTGCCTACTTATAAAATTACCCTCGGTCGCAGCCTCCCAAATTTAGAGTTCATTGGATACTGCTGAGTGTTTGGCGATAATATTAAAGCTTTTTTTTCTTGTTAATTTCTACCAAATCTGCCCTGTAAAAGCCACATGCATTTAAACAGGCGCGGGCTTTATTTTCATACCAGTCTGGCAGTAGACATGGACTGGGCTCGTTTCATACAAAAGCGACTGAGCGAAGCGTAAACTTGCATGATTTCCCGCAGAATATCCAAAGAAAACCCGAAAACTACAAGCAATGAAGATGCAATCAAACGACCTGGTATCTGTGCACTAATCTGATTTTATACGCACCGTATTTCCGATGCTAAATTGTGTCGTGTGAGGTTTAAGCTTAGTAGAGTTAAATGAATTACTATCAAGCAAAGGTTTTCATTAATCCCAGTATATTCAGAGGACAGCTCCCGTCTGATTAAACTAACAGGGCTTAGCGAAACGATATCGATGCAATGTAACAACAGCTACACAACCGAGGCAAGCTAAATAACATCCCGTCTTTTATCAAAAGTTAGGACAACAATTGCCTAATGATTTTCAAGCAACTGTTCAGTAATTTCTAGTCTTACCTGCAGTGCCAATGAAAAGCAATGCCCAGATGATATCCCCGGTTTGAAGCATTGCAATTTCTTACAAAGGTATGCTCCTAGAAGAGAACGCGGGGAGTGCGTTGGGTCAGCGACTTCTTCTTCAAATTCAGTATTTTCTCCCTAATATAGTTTTATGTATTTGAATATATTTTTTTTAAGTGTTCCTCGGCTGCTTTCTGAGGTCGCTCGCAGGCTGCTCACAGAATGAGTGACAAGGAACAGCCGTAGCACACACACACAGCGCGAATTAGTCCGCCTATGCAAAATCGCGCTCTCACTCGAGGGGGCACTGGATAAACTAGTGCGCCGGCTTTCTCCATCAGTAACAGCAGATGGTGCATTTCGAAAATCTTGACATGGAATCCTTAAGAAATTAGGATTAGGAATCGAGTCCTTACAGTTGCACTTCGCAGGCAGCCCAAACAATCTGTGTCTTGCAACCTCGCTCGTTCACCTTCCAAGCATTTAATATTGTGATCTGCTACAGAAATGTAAACTTTGAAAGATCACAATCAAAAACACATTTTGTTTTGCAAAGATGAAAATATCAACAGGAACCCGTACATATTTGCATTTCGACATTTTTAACCATTTTTGTGTACCTGCTATACAAATACCATGATAATTAGTCATTAATTTTATATATCACAAAGCAGTTGGGTAGCAATTGCTAAAAGAAGCGACCAAAGTGAAATTTAAATGTTAAGTACCTGCAGTCGTTATATAGATTCTGAATCCACGCACTGTAATTGCTTTTGTAAAACAAAAATAGGAAATTTAATAATATCAATGAGTGGAATCCAAACAGGAAATCATTGGGTTCTCCTGGGATCTTTGAGTTTCAGCTGTGTCACAAACTCATTACCTCACTGCACACTGCTTGTAATGTATTTAAACTGCCTGCTCATCTTTCCCCGAGATATCGCCTTTCCATTTTCCCCATCTTGTGACTGAATCTAAATTTCTCCATTTGTCACAGCGGTTTCAATACGCGAGTAATGCATACCTATTCCAGCAAAGCCATGGATTTCAGACCATCACATATTTCAAGGTAACTGAGTGAGCTCACCATCTGTTCAAGACAGCAGGACACTGACCATCCTAATTAGGGAGTTGTTTCCCAGAAAAGTAGGGCAATTCCAGAACCATTCAGCAAACAGTAAGATCTACAACAGAACAAAGAAACTCTTAGAAATTCATCTTGTTATGACAAAAAAACACTTTCTATGGCAGGAATACAAAAATGGTCAGTGGCTAAGGTTCGCCAGGTGATTAAATATATTATGGGCGACTAGTCAGGGAACTTAAAATACATGCTATTCTAAGCATGCCGCTGTCTTGTTATGCAGCTGCTCTGCAATTGGATCTGAGGCACTCAGCTCACTGTGTGTTTTGCAAACAATTTATACAACTTGTGAAGAACATGGACAGTCCTGAACGTAATGCAATGGATCTGTACTGGAAACATGGAACTTTCCCACTATTTCCCCAAATGGTGACTCACAGTTAATCATGAGGTTTTGCACATGTACAAATACTTTATGTCTTATTAATGTACAGTATATGGGCTCTGGATGAATAAAGAAGACATGGATGTATCAGCGCAGAACCTGGAAGAAATGTTATTCCACAAGCAAGGCGCTGAGGGTTTGTTAGCATGACAAAATTCTAATAAAAGAGAGAGAGAAAAAACAACAGAGCAAAAGAAACCCTTAATGCCGTAAAACATAAAGATTTTGAAAATGTTTAATTAATGGAGTCAGTTCCTTTTTTTTACCAGGTGTTTAACGGTAAACAAAAAAATCAGACTTGTTATTTATCTCTTTCCATTGCAAGAAATATGTAAAACAAGTATTTTTTTACACTACACACGATAAAAGTATTAAATATATTTGTATTGCAGTGTGTATACTTAGTATGAATAATAAATGAACAAGCAATTTTCAGATGTGGCCTGAATTCAGACATTCTATTAAAACATTTAAGCATTGTTTAGCTTTTCATGTTTGGAAAAAGTATTGCACAACAAGTTTGCTTACGATTAAAGCAAAACACAGAAACCACTTTCATTTTAATCAGAAAAAGATTCATTAAAGGCAATGTAAATCCATACACAAAAATAACAAATATTTATGTATCTATCCTTGTATCTTCCCACAGCCACCTACCCAGAACAGGGTTGTGATGAGTCTTGAGCCTGTTCCAGAAGGCACAGGGCACAAGGCTGGGGACACCTTGGATGGGACAGCAACTCATCACAGGGATAACACTCATACACTATGGCCAATTTATAGGTGCCAGGTGCGTAACTGCATGTTTTTGGACTGTGGGAGGAAACCAGCATACTCAGACACATAGAGCTAGGGATGAGCATCCAACCTGCAAACCCACTCAGTCATCATGACACCAACAAACTACCATCAAGTTCAAGGTACTTTTATTGTTTTGCTTAATCTGTGAAGTGCCAACAAAATTAAAATGCTTCTGACCACAAGTGGTCATAAATTCAGTGTGAACTTCTTTGCTACAGAAGCCTAGTTGTACATTGTACAGTACATTTAAATGAATTCCTGACTAGTGAATCAAGTTAATCTTTGTAACCGGATAGGGGCTACAACAGGGTGTAATTGATTCCTCATGAAGGAAAACTTTCATTAGGACTTAAGAAGGGACACTGTGTGTCTGGAATTCTAAAACAGACGGACAACTTTGGATTTTAAAAAGGCTGATAGTGTTTTACTGATTTTATTTCTCATTTGATGGATAAACCAAAGTGAAGAGATGCAGGCAGAATACCACTATGCAGAACACCACTTATGAATTTCGAAATCCACAGAATACTAATTGTGTTCATACCCGACAGAAAGGTATTGTCATTCTATCGGGTTTGCCATTCCTATTGCTCAAAGGCTTGGCACCTGTAATCAAAAATGCAAACGAACTCTTAGGCTTTTTGTGTGTTCATATTCAACTGAAACTGGCAGATTGACAAGCAGTGAATGCATTCCACTGGTGAATGTTAAATAAGCCTTTTGTGCACAATGACAGCATGACAGTAGTCAATTCTTGACTATACCTGCCATTTTTGAATTCAACAACTCCAGCTGAAATTTTTAGACTGTAAAAAATTTCATGAACCTTAACATTACTTTAAAAGGTTCCTGCTCACTTACTTTGAATATCAGTTCACTGTGACTCACTTTCTAGATAGGTAATAGAGTAGCAGTATTTTATTCATCTCCATGGGGAAATTCAGTAGTTTTCAGTCCCAGACACACATGTATATACAGATGAGAGTGAGTTTTGGGGTCAATGCACAGGGTTCAGCCGGTATTTGGGGATAAGTGATTTGCTTGATACAATTAGCTATGGGATTCAAATCCACATCCTTCCAGTCATTGGCACAGAACCTTTACCTGCTGAGATACATGACACTCATTTAATGAGGTTAATGATGCTTGACTTGGTTCACTTGGTAATAGCTGGTAAATATTATAATACAAATTAAATTACAATTCAAGAATATTTATAACCAATAAGGCTACCTGTATGTCTTTATTATACCATTATGGTAAAATAATTTGTTTTAAAGGCTGTATATAAAAAATTCCATAAGATGCAATGTGTGTTTTCTTGATTGATGACATTAAAGTGATGTTGGTTGCTTTGACAAATTGTTTTGAATATGAAAACACATTTGGCTTCTGTTCATCTGGAATCATTTGGCACAACAAACAACAAACACAGCAGAATCGGGTTTTTCATTCTCTTCTAGTCCCATCATGGCATCAAACTCAACTTACATCCAGTAAGCCATTTCCTTTATGCTGCCATTCGGAGAACACAGAAGCCAAACAAAGCAAGACATTCACGAGGTGCCATATCTTTCAGAAATCCCAAAGTGAGCCCCAAACGGCCCCTTGCGTAAAACTCCCCAATTCCTCACAGGCCTGTCAGAGTCGTAAATGCTACATTAACAGAAAAATGAAAACTCAAAATGCTGCTGGGAGTCTAAACAGTCTGCCATACGTAGTCCCGCAACGACAGACTCACTCCCCAGCCCCCTTCATCCGCATCAGAAGAAAACAACCAAGGTGATATAAAGGCTCCATCAACAAGCCCGGAGCTTAAAACAAGCTGTACTCCCATTCTCTGGTGTTACTTTATAAAGTAACATAAAAACCAGTCCTAGAATTTGACCTTCCTACCTATCACAAATCATGCCTCCCCACAGAATGATGTTTTGATTTATTGTCTTGTCACCCTACCGAAAAGGGCCTTTTAATCAAAAAACTAGCGGTCTTTAAAGCCAAAGCCAAAGCATTACTAGCTACAGGACCCATGTACAGTACATACAGCCCTATTGGTAATACTTCACTTAACACGCCCATGTATTATGCATTATGGATATCTTCATAATGAATTATAATGCATTCATAAAATATTATACACATGGCTATAACTATTAATGAAAAGGCATAACACATTATACCCATATTTATAATGTATTATGAATGTTCTTTGAAGCTCTCATCTATAATGCACTATAAATACTGTCATGATGCATTATAATGGTTTATACTGACCATATTATGAAGGTATCTATAGTGCATTATAGTTCTTTATAGAGCTTCATGGAGCCTTCATAATGCATAATAAACATGGATATAATGTGTTATGCCTTTTCATTAATAGTTATAGCCATGTGTATAATACCTTATGAATGCATTATAGTGCATTGTGAAAGTACCTGTCATGCATTATGATGACTGATTTAAGTAAGGTGTTACCCTGCTATTTAACAATCATCTTCCCAGCCTCAAATGCAGCATTTACCACAGTCAGGAACAACAGTGAAATGCCTGTGAACATTTGGATTGAAAATCATTGACTAAATCTCAGTGACACTGTTGCCTCATGCCTCCAGAGTTGGGGGTTTGAATCAGGATTGTGGAGCCTGCATGTCCCCACATGTGGTTTTCTAATTGGTACTCTGGTTCCCTCCTGCAGTACAAAGATAGGCGGCTGGACTAATCGGTGACTCTAAATTTCCCAGACACTGTGATTCTATGCGGCAGTTTTTGTGTCAGGAGGGATTCTGGGATTTTTAATGAGGGGGGCACAAGAGGGGACATAGTTCATACAGAGGGGCTAACCTTTTCATTAGCCAATGATATACTTTAAATCAGTGAGTGACAGGGGAGGGGGCACTCCTCAGGCCAATCAATTTTTAGCTGAGACCAGTGTCCCTTTGGCCCCAACCTTATATACAACTCTGGTGTATGCATATGTG